AGAATTCTGTACATAGGGATGGAGACCTCGGACCCTGAAAGACTATACTGTCCTAGAGAAGCTCAGAGGCGGGCGACAAACATGATCAAAGTTTTGGGAACAACCTTTATGAAAACAGAAGGCCAACCCCAGCCTACTTTCTCTTTCCTACAAGCAAATACAAAGGACTCTTATATAAATCCTCTGTATTTTGAATGGCCCGGACTGTTGCTTTGATTCCAATGATTATTTTATTCGGTCTAGCACACCCACCGTTTGCAGTCCTCCCATAAAACCACGCCCAAAAAAGCAAAGACCGATGGACACAAGTTCTTCTTCATTATCAGAGTGACTGCATCGTGGAACGTTCTACGCGAAGATGTTCTCTACAACTGCGCACGCCCCAAGCTTCTTCCTCAATAGTTATACGCCAACCCATTCAATCAGATAAATTATAGATAATAGTACTACTAATATCAACCGAGTAGTAGTTTGTATTTATATTCGATTAGCCGACGGGTGCTTGCTTTTCGCCTGCATGTAAGCAAACGTTTATTTTAAATTTCCCTTCGTATTGTCTTTCTCTTGATAAAACTGAAACGAACTGAAAGAAAGTCCACTTACAATTTGGGCATATGGTTGGGGCAAAAAATAAACTTTTCCCCTAGGGGCTCAAGGGTCTCCATAAAGTAAATCTCTCCTTTCTCGCCGATATCCACTGGTACATAAGCAAGACTGGGCAAGGCTAACGTATATGAGCTTCTTCGTAAGTTAACAGGCAAGACCTCCTGTGAACGGGAGGATGGTATTTAGGCGTTCAGTGGGTGGAAGGAAGTAGTAAGTTTTAGAAAATTAGGGGGGCAAAGGTGAGACAGTGGTAAATATATAAAACTTTGTTTAACGACCCTAGTTTATTTTACGATCACAAAGCAATTTGAAAAAGGCTCCGATGCGGAAACTGATAAGCTAAACGAAAGCTCACTGGTGATCGCCAAGCGATTAACCTGATGACATTGCAATGAATAAGGAATTGATATTACGGTAATTAAAAATTGATTATTGGTATGAATTAATTAATTAATTATTTGTTACTTAATTGTTACTTAATTAGTTATTGAATGGTAAAATTATGGAAAATCTAGCCAGCGGTTGTGGTAAAGTTAATAAGAACTCTAAAACAAACGCTTATCCTAAAACTAACCCTGGCCAACTCCACGTGTTGTGATTAAGCCTGCCGTTCATGCCAAGCCTAATAGAATGAAATCCAATCCAAGCTGCAACCCCGTAAGCAAATTACTTGGCGGTTAACTTTAATGCAGCACGCCAATTTCCTTAGTACATACTATCCTGCTTCCGTCATCAGGGTCAATCCCAGATGGCCCCAGTCCCGACCTCGAATCCTTTAGAGTAACATATTCAGCAGTCGGCAAGGCAACTGAGCTGAATCGAACAACAGCATTATATGCCAAGTACATCGTAATTAGCATTAAAGGCGTACACGGGTGATCTTCATCCGTGACTCTGTTGGGACCCTCATGCAAATACCACAACACTGGACAACGAATGAGCTCACGAATAATCGAGTACAAACGGGCAGTTCGGAGGAACGCCCCAC